GTTTCATGCATGTGCTTTTCAAATACTTTTTGTAATAATGGCTTAGTCAATGTGTTTGTCACATTATCTACTAATGCTAGACCTATTCACGAATCAGATTTTGGTCTTAGTTTTAGATTGTATAATTTTGGGCATGAGCTTTAGGTTGGGCCCATCCAAAGTTTGGAAAAAGAAAAGATAAGCCCAAGCCTAACCCATAATGAACATGTTTAGCTTATGCTACCTTCTATATTTAAATGTCTCATCTTCCCCCAATTCCTCAAATGATGTGATATTTCCTCTCAATGTGTTTTGACTTTGAGTGTACTTTTGATTCTTTAACTTGAGCTATAGTCCATGTGCTATCACACAATTAGGGGTGTACAATCGATTGGTTTGGCTCGGTTCGATTAGGTTCAAACCAAGGACCTAACCGACTATTGGTTTTCACATTTCCTATAACCGAATTATATTATCGAACCAAATTATATTTTAGAACCAAACCAACCCTAACCGAATTTGACTCGATTTGGTTTAGTTGACCCTGGTTCCACATAAATGGCAAGCATTTAGTAAGTGTTATTAATGAAAAATTAAAACGGCCCCAAAAGTCAATGGTTTTAATTAATTAATTATTAACTATTACTAATTAAAAGTTAGAATGACCCCAAAGCCCAATGGTTTTAATTAATTTTCTATTATTAATTAAAGGGTAAAATACAAAAATCTCCCCTATAGTTCATTTTAGCAAAAACCTCCCCTCTATTTTTGACAAAATTAACAAATACCTCCCTTCCATCAATGACCAAGACGGAAAACGTTAAAGAGATGACCACTTTTTCAAAATACCTATTTTACCCTTTCTTGAACATTGTTCATCTTCTTCCTCACAACGCAAAACGTAGAATGGCGGTGCACTCTCTCTTCTTTAATTTCCCTTTGATTCTCTCTCTCCCCACCAACACAAAATAGCACTATTCATCATCCCCCCCCCCCTCTCTCTCATTCTTAAATCTTCATTAATGGCATCTCTGTGTCTCCTCTTGCTCTCTCTTTCTTCTTTTCTTTGTCTGAGGCTTCCACACCAGACACAAAGATGTCATTGATGAAGATTGAGGAATGTGTGTGTGAGAGAGAGAGATGAGGAACATTCTCTTCACACGGCAATACTTCCCTTCTTTTCACCGTGTGTTCCTCTCTTTGTTTTTTTGGTTTTTATAAAGAACCCAAGGCGTACCTTAGCTAGAAAACTAGCTATTTCGACATTCTCTTTTGATTGTTGTTTTTCCTCTTTGCAGGAGGGGTTGCGGCTATGGAAACCTCTATAACCAGGGTTACGGGACTAGTACTGCATCTCTGAGTAACACTCTGTTCAATAATGGCCCGAGTTGTGGGGCTTGTTTTGAGATTAGGTGTGTGAACGACCCAAAGTGGTGCCTGCTTGGCTCCATTGTCGTCACAACAACTAATTTCTGCCCACCCAACAATGCCCTTCCTAACAATGCAGGGGGTTGGTGTAACCCTCCCCAGCACCATTTTGATCTCTCTCAGCTTGTCTTCCAACACATTGCTCAGTACAGAGTTGGGATTGTTCTAGTGGCTTATAGAAGGTAATTTTGTACTTCCTTGGTCCTCTATTTAGCTTAGTGTACCTTAAGCTATGTTTGGTTTGACAAAAAGTTGAGGGAATTTGTTAATCTCTCTCACTTTCTATCAAAAAACCAAATACAGCCTCCGGTCCTGCTCTTCTCTCTCTCTCTGTAGTTTATTTTTCTAGGCTTAATGCTTTCTGAATGTTCATGCTTGTCTTTGTGATTTTTGTGGATGTTCATATATGGGTGGGGGAGGGGGGGTGGTTCCCTTCTCTCCCCACGCCAAGAAATAGAATCTTGATGATAGATATGCTCTTCTTTTGTGGGTCTTTGAAAGGTTCCTTGCACAAAGAGGGGGGAATCAGGTTCACCATCAATGGCCATTCATACTTCAATCTAGTCCTCATAACCAATGTCAGAGGTGCTGTGAAGGGATCTGCTCCTCACAAATGGGCGCCTCACATGCACATTCACCGTGCATTGGAAACATCTCCCGTGAATAATAACAAATAAGTACGGGAGATGTTCTCATAGGATGTACGTGTGTGGCGCCAGGTGTGAGGAGCAGATCCGGTCTCGGAGGTGCTGGTGATGTGCATGCTGTCTCCATCAAGGGGTCAAGGACTGGGTGGCAACCAATGTCAAGGAGGTGGGGCCAAAATTGGCAGAGCAACAATTACCTCAATGGTCAGAGCCTGTCTTTCAAGGTCACCACTCACCACCGGTGATGGGCGTAGCGTAGTCTCCTACAATGTTGCCCCTGCTGGCTGGTCCTTCGGCCAGACCTTTAGTGGAGGGCAGTTCTGCTAGAGAGACCATCCCTGACCCCTACAGCTACACTTGGTTGTGGGGGGTAGGATATACAGACATACCCAATGAAAGGTTGTTTGGTAGGTGTATCGGTAATTAATTCGTTGTTGGGCCAAAGTGAGAAGGGCCTATTTTAAAATTGCCCTTGTCATTTTAATTTGATTGTGGGGTTTCTACTTTTCATTTTGCCGTTTTGCACTGTGAGGAAGATGATGAACAGTGTTCGAGAAAGGGTAAAATAGGTATTTTGAAAAAAATGATTATCTCTTTAACATTTTCGTCTTGGTTATTGACGGAAGGGAGATATTTGTTAATTTTGTTAAAAATAAAGGGGAGGTTTTTGCTAAAATAAAATTATTGGGGAGGTTTTTATGATTGTCAAAAACTTCAAGGGAGGTTTTTGTATTTTACCCTTAATTAAAAGCTAAAATAGGCCCAAAGCTGTATGCCAATGGGGAACTGGCAAATTGGCCATTTTCAAAAGTAATTAATGATTAATGAATAATAAACAATTAATAATGAGTCTAGGTTTTAATTAACTATTATTAATTGTTCATTGGAAAATATAATTATTAATTAGCATAAAGTATTAAATAAAACATTAATGTTTAATATACTTAACTAAATAACAGCATTAGTTCAGTTTTTAGTTCGATTTGGTTGAAAATTTCAATCAAACCGAACTGAAACCGAAAACCGATTTTTTTTTAAATATAAACCGAACCAAACCAATAGCCGAATTAACTGAACCAAATTAGCTTATTCAATTTAGTTCGGTTAGGTTTTTGGTTTTCGATTTATCAACCAAATTTGAACAGCCCTACACACAACAAGGGGATGGGCAATATGCTAGTGGGAACTACTCCAAGATCATGGACAAACTTCTTTATCTGAAGAGTTTCCTTGGCAGCTACTTGTAGTAATGTATATTCCGCCTTGTTTACTACTCTTGAGCTCAAAAGAAAGATGAATTCATATGAAGACTTTCTATCATATGGATATAACTAGAACTCAACATTTGTATATTCAACCATCTTTAATTCTTGGGTAAATTACAGAAAGGTACCCTGTACTTTGGAGGAAGTGATAGATAGGGATCAATTGCAACATTTGAGTACCCTGAACTTTCAAAAATAGACACATAGGTCCATTCTGTCAGTTAAACATTACATAATGCCAAAAATACCCTTATCATGTATTTCTGAGATCATTCTCAAGTAATCGGACGTCTCCGCATGATGACGTTCTCACATAGGCAACAAATAATATATTCAAATTTTCTGATGATGACATTCTCTAGTGATGATTTTACCCCATAGAATGATGGACTCAAGTGTCTATTTTGAGAATTCAAGATACTCAAGTCTTGCATTTTAAAGTTCAGATACTTATCTATCACTACCCCAAAATATAGTTTACCTTTTTAAGTCTTTGAAGATATTTAAGTATGTATTCTATCACAACAGTCCAATGGCCATGTGGTGAGTAGACCTGTTCATGGGTCGGGTAGCCCGACGGCCCGGCCCGGCCCGGCCTGGCCCGCACCCCGGCCGGGCTTGGTCATATAATTAGGCCCGCGGGCCTGACTTCGAGCTTAACACAGTAAGCCCGACTGTGTTTCGGGCCGGGCTCGGGATTTGTCAAAAAAGCCCGGCCCGAGCCCGGCCCGGCCCGACTCAGTATTATATATTTTATAAAATATATAATATGTATTTTATATATTATATAAAATATATAAATAATATAATATTTATTAAAATATATATTTATAATTTAATATATATATATATATATATATTTTATTCTTTTCTTTATAATTTCAATCTATCTCTCTCTTTATTCAGCTGCTTCAACATTAATAATAATAATAATATAGGCTAAATTTCTGGGCTCGGGCCATAAAAAAATTTGTTAATACACAGTAAAAGCCCGGCCCGAGCCCGGCCCGGCCCATGAACAGGTCTAGTGGTGAGTTAGATTGATATGTATTGATGACGACCGTGATTGCCTAAGGGGCTGTGTGCCTGTCCACACTTTCAAACTCCATTTAAGCCCGGTGGGCTCTCATATTAAGGGGCGTGCTAAAAAAACGTATTAAAGGACCTCACCTAAAACTTGAACGTACGTATATTATTATTAATAATAATAATAATAATAATAATAATAATAATAATAATAATAATAATAATAATAATAAAGGATTGGAACTCCTAAGATCCCAAAAAGTTTTGTTAAATTTTCTTAAAAATTTGACAAAATATGACTACTAAAGGCACAAAAGCTGTCACTCCATGGATGAAGTTATTGCAAAACCATTGATACCCAAATATCTTCAAAATTAATAATAAATCCCATGTCTCATAGGAAAGTTAATGTCATGTGAAATAACCTGCAGTAACCAGTTATGACATGGAATCCCATCCGGTAAATATATATGCGAGCAATCTGCTATGAACTGAAGCTGTATGGGAGCAAATAATCAACTTTCTTGTTATTTTAAAAGTACTTATCCTGAGTACATATTAAGAAGAATATTAGTGTAACAGGCCATAGAATCAATCATGCATATCGCTGCTTGTAGGGAACGAACATACAATATTAATAATTAAATAAAACATATCACCAATTTACTCTTTCTTTTATATTGACCAAGAGCCCATTCTTCATATGAAGGACAAGAGATGGCTTTATGGAAACCGACTGACTGTCCAAGACTTGAACATGGAAGTTGTAGAGAAGAGCTGCAGCAGTCAACTTAATCTGGTTGATTGCTGTTTCCTTCCCTATGCAAGTTCTGGGCCCAAGACTGAAAGTGAAAAACTTGGACATCTGTTGATTGTCCAAGGTCCCATCTTCAGAAATCCATCTCTCTGGTTTGAACTCTGAACAATCGTCCCCCCAAACCCATGGCATCCTTGCAACAGCATAAAAGCAGAGTATGATCTGCATCCCGGGTCGAGTGATGCTTCCGTCAGGGAGGATTTCTTCTTTAACAGCTCCCTTGCTATTTAGAGGAAGCGGAGGATACAGCCGTAGTGATTCACAGACCGCTGCGTGCAAGTACGTTAAGGATCTGAGATCGTCTGAATCAAACACACATGGCCACTTGTTTCTGACCTTCTTCATGCAAGCAAGCCTTAATTCCTGCAAGATCTTTGCTTCCACATGAGGGTGTTTGGCAACCAGCCAAAAGAACCAACTGAGACCCGAAGCCGTTGTATCTCTTCCCGCGAAGATGAAGTTGAGCATGTTATCTCTAACAAACTTCTCACCACTCTTGGACAGATCATTTCTTTCTACTCTTTGAGATTTCAGGTACATATAGAGCAGATTATGTCCTTCTACTCCTTTAAGAATATCTTCTCTTGTTAGAGAAATGCTTTCTGACATCATAAGATCCAGAGTTTCCCATGCGTCGGCCAATTTCTTCTCTGTTCCAATCTTCAATAAACGCATGAATTTCCAAAGCGAGTTGGGCATTGCGAACCTATAAAGGGCAGCTTCAAGTGCATCATCCATGGCTTGGGCATACTTGTTGGGATGAAATTTCAAGGAAACACATTCTGGGTCTCTTCCAAATAAGATAATCATGATGGTATCGAATGTGAATCTCAGAAACAAATCTTGCAAATCAAACGTACACCCTTGCCTGGCCATATGAGCTACCAGAGGAACAAGCTTGTCCCCGATTACCTTCCTGTTCGTATCTGCAATGAAGCTTCGGAAGTCGTAAGACCTGAAACATGAGTGAGCTATCTTCCTCTGTTCTAACCACAACCCAAAATCTATGTTGAATATTCCATCGCCAAGGATGTCTAACTTCTCCTTGTAATCCGGGCCTTTAGGATAGTTGACGAAGTTGCTCTTGAGCATGTACTCGAGGTTGTTGGGATGGCAAGTCGCCAGGTACTCGAGTTTTGAGTAGATGGGACCCTTCAAGACGACGGAGCCGGTGCAATGCTTGAGGAAAACCTCCACTGACCATTCATTGACGTGGTGAATGTGATGCAGGAGGGAGGGGAACGAACCAAGCAATGGCCATTGGGTTAGAACTTCCTTCCTGTGTTGTATGTACCATATCATGGAGATGAAGAGAAGCAATACTAAGCTGAAAGCTTCATACCCTATGAATGACAACTCCATTGAATCTCTGCAGTTTTACTATTAGCTGCCTCAAAGCATAAAGCAGCACAAATGGGGGATATATTGCTTTAATTCGCAGGAAGGAGATACAGGACTCAGGAGGACTGTGCATGTACTGCTGTCATATATAAGCGGATCGGTACATGATGACAGCTAGTGGTATCTGATTTGCTTTTGTCCTGATTCCTGAAGTTGACGTCGAACCAGAACCACTGGGGTTGGCAGCACACAATAGGCTGATTTAATGTGCGGTTTCAACCGTCTTTAACTCATTAAGAAATGCATTAAGTTCATTGATTAGAAGACTGACACTTGAGGTTAGGGTTACAGATGAAATAAGATAACAGTGAGGAGTCTTAGACGTGGCTCATTAGTGATTATATATGGTTGCCGGCATGGTTGACATTCACAGAACTCTAGCTGGTTTAACTTCAGGATTTATTAGACAGCAGACCAATAATATTTGGTTGGGCGTTAATGCAGGCCTGCAGGGTGGAAAGGAAATAGATCAGCTTCGTTGTCAAGGCAGGGAATTAAATGCATGATCGGAAATTGATCGGTTCTGTCCAGGCGGAAAATCCGAGAAAGGTAGACTACTACTAGACGTGGACTTGACATATGCTTGGAAATTGATGGAGTCTGTAGATAATCTGTCCAACCCAACAACCTACCAACATAATCTCACACTGTAAATACATCTACACGGTGGGCAGGGGAGGAGTTAGAATTTTTTATTGAGGGGCCAAAACCTAGAAAATATGGATAAAGGGGCCAAAAGCTAAGAAACCTGGATAAAGGGATCAAAATATAAATATAAGTAGAATTTAAATAGATTTTGTAAGAATTTTGAAGACATAGGAGTTTCAGTTCCAGTCTAATGATGAGATGTACAATATTAGATCAAGTTGGTAGAGAATTGGAATAATGTGCTTTATTGGCAGAATGCTTGATGATGATAACCATAACTAATTTGGTTTGTTGAATGTTACTGTTCCATTAATAACCAAGATTCTTACAAAAAAAAAGCAATAAGTTATGGTCCAGAAACTCCTTTTCTTCATTGTCATGTAGAAGTATCAGTCTCTTTCTTCGAGGTAGCTATATTCACCCTCATTAGCAGGTAGAATCACTCTTTTGGCTTGCCTCATATATAGATCTAATGCAAGGCTTCTTGGGTGAAGGCTTCTTCACATCCTTATCTAGCCTCATCCCTCTTATTTCTCATCTTCTTAGTAGGGGGAGCCTGAGTCAGTTTCTTAATAGTTGTTGCCCTAGAGTGAGTAGACACAAAGTTTTTCCACTCTTGCACTTGAGCCACCCAGAATTCGTTAATAACTATTAGAGACCATGGTTTTTGAACCGTCGCTGACCGTTGGGCCTGGGAACCGTTTAGGCAACCGATTACGTTTTACCCCAAACTCAATCTCTGGCCAAAAAACATTGAATCAGTCAATGACCTGTTGACCTGGGCAGTAGAACCATTGACTCATCGACCCATTCAATGATTTTTGGTCGTTTTTTTTTTATTTTTAATTATTTTTTAATTTTTTTTTATCAGAATGGACCGTCCATTCAAACTAGAAGGTCAAACCATCGACCCAAAAACCAGTGGCCAAAACGGTTCTATTTCTGGGTCATTTTTTAAAACCATGTTAGAGACACAACCAGCCCGATGCTCATAAACAACTGGAAAAGTAGAAGAATTCAAGAAAGGTTTCTTTAGGCCTGGGACACTGGTGTGAATACATACCTGTTTCAAAATGTGAAGGATGAATTGATGGAAGAAACGATCAAGGCAATAGAAAGGAAACCACAAGCAAAGATGTTGCTTTAGCAAAATAAATAAAAGAAAGGAATTAGGCAACAAAGTAACTTGAATCGTCATCTATCACCCTAACAACGCCTTGGTAGCGAGTGGTTTATTGTTTGCACAATTCATCCTCGACGACCCCTAGCATAGTACATATCTTGTACAACTTCCTAGCCTTTGATCGAAAACCAAGCGCCAATGGAGTTAGCCCCCAACTTTGGAAAATGTTCAATTCACATATGTATATAAACATAAAATTAGTATTTACAAAACAATAGGGTGTAAATGGTATTCGAAAATCCGATTCCGAAATCCGATATTCGATATAGTCGAATCAAATTCGGATAATTTGAATATCTAATTGGTCAATTCAGAGATCTTATTCATACCAAATAGTTAATCAGATTCAAATTCAGATATGACCCAATTCAATTCGATAAATATCTGAATTCGACTTATTATTTCATTCTTGTATATAATATATAAAATATTTTATATAATTTATATATATAATATTTAAATTATTAAATAATTTATATATTTATGTATTTTATATCAATAAAATATATATTTTATATATTATTAATTATCTAAAATAATTAATTAATCAAATTCAAATCAAATAGAATATTTGAATATTTAATCGGATTCAAATTCAGATATTAATTTTCAATATCCGTCGGATATCGAATTTTCTAATTGGATTCGAATTCAGGTATTGCTTGATCCGATTCGAATTTGATCCGTTTACACCCTTACATAACAAGAAGGAACATTAGAAAGCTACAGCCATTCTATTGAAAGTTCGATATAAACATCTCAAGAAAAAGAAAGCAAGTGTAAAAGTCTCACTGCAAGCCACTTCCATATCAGAACCATTGAGGTTGCACACTATGGCATTTGTTAGGGATTTTCTCTACTAGCTTTTCCTAACCACTCTTTAGTCGCCATGAATTGCAATTCATGACGGGTAAAGAGTGGATAGGAAAACTGAGTAGGAAATTTGAGTTGATCTTCTAGGGCCCTAGGGAAAATGAACTTGGAAAGAATAACCAAGAAAAAAGTAGAGAAAAATCCCAATATAGAATTAGGGGCTAACACCCAACATATTGGCAAGAATACATGACCCAATTTCTGCTCAAAAATGGACTTCACCAATCATCATTCCACCTAGACTTTTAGGGGCGTTCGTTTTTTTTTGGATTTTGATAGGGGAAATCTGGTTAATGGGATTTTGGTTTCCATTGATCAAGAATCCCATGTTCTTTTTTCGGATTAATGTGGGGGGATCAGGGAAAGTTTACTTTTATATGTATTACTTACCCAAGAGAACTGAATACCCATTTCCTAGGTGGGTAAATAACTTTTCCACTTAGGGAGAAAGTTTCATACACTTAAATGCATGGTTTTTAAAACTGGACTGGACTAGACAGTCGGACCAGAAAAACCGGGAACCGGTCACCTAACAGTTCCATTTTCCCCAAAACCGTTGATTTTGGTTAGCAAACCGTTGAACCGGTTGGTTAACTATTCGAACAGTTTTGACCGTTTTTCAGTTTTTTTTTTATTTTTTATTTTTTTGTTAGAACGGGCCAATTGTTCGTGTCGAACGATTGGACCATTCGAACCAGTAACCGGACCCCTGACCGATTCAGTTTTAAAAACCATGCTTAAATGGGATAAAAATGCCCCTTTTAATAATAAATTTTTATAGTTAAAATGGTCATTTCCTTTTTTACTTGAGAAATAAAAGAACATGAATAGATACAGTTAACCATATAAGTGATTCCCAAAAAAAATTTACCCAAATAATTATATTTAAATAACTTACCAAAAAGTGAACAAAGGCCTTATTAAATTTTCAATTTTATTAATCAACACCTCAGCCTATGATTCATTCCCCACTTATTACTGTTCCAACTGTACAAATTGTACTAAAAGTTTAAAGTTTAGGGGGAGGACTGAATAATTAATAAAACTCCCTAAGAAAATCCAAAAAAATCATAATTGATTTTTGTATTTATAGCTCGGATACTCGCTTCGCTGCGAATCATAAACATGTAAACATTAAAAGTCAATCATTTACGTCAGTTTAGTTTGCCGGTAAATAATCGTTTATCTTCTGAATTCTCGTCTTGTTAGGTGGATTTGGACTCCCTATACCACACCGCTTTCAACTGTTTGTTTGGAGAGTAATCTTTGGGTACGTCCCTATCAGAGATAAACTTTAATTTCTCACAGAACGGAGACAACGGGCGTGAGACATCAATTTAAATCCTGTTTTTTAGAATTCTTGGAGGGACTGTGTACGTAATCACATTAATAGAATCTCTCCTCAGTAAAGAGTTGTATCATGGTTTTAGAACCATCGTTGACTCCAGCGGTTGTGGCCTGAGAATTATTCAGGCAATCCGTTTTGTTTTATCTCAAATACGGTTTCTAGCCAAAAACCGTTGAATCAATCAACGATTTATTGAGCCAGGCAATTAAACCATTGGCCCGTCAATCTATTCAATGGTTTTGGAGGGACTGTGTTTGTGGAACATTAATTTAAATCCTGTTTTTTAGAATTCTTGGAAGGACACATTAATAGAATCTCTCCCCAGTAAAGAGTTAATTGATTCCATTCTTTCATGTTATGTTGTATCATAGTTTTCAAAACGTCGTTCATTCGGACGGTCGGATCGTTTGGCCTGAGAACGATCCAGATAATCGGTTCTATTTTATCCTAAATCCGGTCCCTAATCAAAAACCATTAAATAAGTCAATGATTCGTTGATTCGAACGATCAAACCATTGACCCATTAACTCATTCAATGGTTTTTAATTATTTTTTATTTTTAATTTTTTATCAGAACAGATCATTCATTCAAAACGGATGATCAAACTATTGACCCAAAAACCAATGGTCAAATTCGAGTCGTTTTTTAAAATCATGTGTTATAGCCCTTTATTATATGGTTTGCGAGGAATGAGAGAGTGTTCAAGGATCGAAATATCCCTGTCCATTGAGTGTCTACAAAGATTAACTGATCAATTTGTAGATCTACTAATCGGGATCATCTGCCTGATTAAGAATAATTCTGTCTCTTATGGTTGCATTGCATGAACGGCTGATCTCTCTTGTGTAGGAAGAATGGGTCCTCTGAGTGGAAGTGAACAAGCGGAACTGGAAGCAATATAATTTGCA